AGTTGCGTTATGTTTGGATTAAAACGCGACTCACAATTCAACATAGAATGTTCATTCCAAGGATACATCAAATTACGATAGAGTGAACGAATTGTGAGACAAACTTACAATTCTAAAAATCGTAATAGAAATTAGCGACTATGTAAACAAAATAGTACATGTTAAGATCATAAAAGCAGAAGTCACGGCAGCCAACATATGAAGACTTTAGAATTGATTCAATTAAGCCTCGTGATTCATGTCAACAAAAAGACATGCGATGAACAGAAAAGTATAGGAAAAGAGCAGTATGGATTTATGAAACATACAAAAATGCACTTGTCACGTTTTTACGAATTATGTGAAAGTTCTATTGAAATGAAACAGAGTATTTATTTATGTTTACTCATCGATTACTAAAGCTTTTGTAGTGAAACACGAGCATAGATATGCACGAAGATTTAAACATACAACTATATTGAAACAAACAGCAGGCATGAACAATTAACAAATACGAAAACTAAAGAGAGGAGTACACCGAGCATGGATGTTGTTACCTGACCTTTTCAATTTATATAGTTACAGGTGTTAATAGTCTAGTGATAGGAGGCTATAACATGAACAATTTAAGATATGCAGATGAGAAGAGACCAAAGAGAACAGTTACAGAATATGTTTGATATGGTGATAATTGAGAATGCACAAAGAAGGTTATCAGATGATTGCAAAATGGCTGAATACATAGTAAGCAAGAAACCAGATATACAAGACTGTCAAATAACAGAGAATCAGCAATGAAACAGGTTGAGAACTTAAAATTACCTTGGGAGTTTAATTACATCAGACAGAAGCATCGATAGTAAAATAAAGAACAGAGTTGGAATTTCAAATACTCACAAAATAAAACCAAAATTAAAAATATTGTCATACATTCTCTACTCTATGGCGATGGATGTTGGACAATATAACAAACTATGGAAATATGTGGTTTTACAAAAGAATTCTTTGAATATCTTGGACTTATGAGGAAGTACTATCTAAGGCGGGGAATAAAAAAGAAACGTTTTGGAACAATAAGAGAGAGACAGTTGAAAATGGAAAGAAGAAGTGCTAGAGGAAAACAGAGAGACTCACTTTCAGTCTCGGCTATTGGATGAGTTACATATATTATTATCTCATAAATTATTAGTATAGTTTTATTTATTCCAATTTATATTTGGTTGATATTACTTTACTTGACGTCACAGTAAGCAACCATCTCACCAAATGTAGTGAATTTTTGGATGTTTAGATGAAGTGAGTTAATCTTGACTAGTTAATTTCCCATAACAACATTGTCTACATAGGCCAAAATAAGTCACGTGCCTCTCCCTCAAATTATGGGCGGTCATTCGAGAATAAGATCTATTTAAAAGTAATTTGGATACATGTAATCGTTTGTTGTAGTTATATTGACTTTCTATTCATGGAGTGTTTCTACGATATCAGTATACCACTGAGTTACTGCTATTTTAACAGGTCTATCTTTACTCACAGCGATTCCCGAAGGATACTTTACAAGATTACTAAACGCATTATCAAAAAGGAAATGGCTGTTGTACAACATGATTTTATGACTCCAAGAAGAAGTGACGTAGGTATTGTCGTCACCGTCGACGCTAATACCACAAGGAAGATACGACTTGCCATTCAAGTCTCTACAGATATATGTGTGCGGGTTTCCAAGATTAGCGTCGAGGACTTGAAGGCTGTGATTATACTGATCAGACACGATTACTTCATCCTTACTGTTGACTGCAAGAAAGTGGGGATTCTTCAGCCGTTGACTGCCAGATGGCGAATATGTCTTCAGATGTTTCCCGTCTGATGTATATTTCTTTATACTGTGCCTATTCCCCTTCCAGTCGGTTACAAATACGTATTTGCCATCCTGAGACAGCGCGATTGCTTTAGGGTCGATGATGCCACTATCTGGAAAGGTGCCAAGTAACTCGTTGTCGTCACTAAACACCACCACCTGTTTATTGCCGGCGTCGGTGACAAAGTAATAGCCTTCAGAAGACACTGCAACATCCCACGGTTCGAACTTTCTCTCGAATGTTTTATAGTCCAAGAGAAGATCACATGTCCCTTCCCAGTGCATTATCTGTACACGGTTGTTTTCGGTGTCAGCCACTGCTAATCTTCCCAGGTGGTCGATAGTAATTCCACGAGGCCAGTCAAACATCCCGCGGTCTGATCCGCGCTTGCCTATTGTCTTTGTCGGCTTAAGAACTAAATAAAATAAGGTAGGAAGTAAGATATTATTGGAAGATATTAATCTCGTGTTTCATATTTGCATAATTTCAACTACTTCCACTTTCCATCTCAGGGAAATAGTTTTGCCCATGATTACACCAGGCTTTATTTTTGTGCCGAATTTTATTCTGCATGTTGATTCTGACGTCAGAGATTTAAATTGCGCATGTCCATATAGTCATTTTAAGTGCGCATTCACTGCACGCTAATTCAAGATCTTTTTCGGAGCAGTGATTTATGGAGTAACAAGGATTACATACACTTTATGAGATGATTGTCAAACTTGACTTTAGTTTGACATGAAACTCGACTGTCTGATGGTATTGATCTGATAACATATCCCGATATTATTAAGATGTGGATAATTCGCTTTATAATACTATTTCTACGAATATTGTATAATGAACATTATAGTTAAAAGGAAGCCCAATGTTTCTAATCAGAAATGGAATTGACTTTTTATAAGGGTTTAAAAGAAATATGGTGTTGATACGTATTATTACCTTTGGGTAAGCCAGTGGCTGCAACGGTGATCTTATTTATTGGTTTCTGTTTAGCTTTAGCCATTGCCTCCTTCTTTGCTATGATATGAGCTGCAAAAACAAAAATAGTATTAATATCATTAAACTAGTTTATTTGGGTTTTGTAAAATATGAGACACGTTTTGGGTGTCCTTATTGTGTGTCACAATCATACCTCTTTGAGATTTTACTAAAGTAGATTCCTCGACTGATATTTGCGAAATTTGCTTAGGTTCTTCACTTGATGATCTAGAGGACGGCTCTGTAAAAGAGGAAAGTCTTTTAATTAATTTAATAAAGAAAAACAAATATCAACTACTGTCACGCACACATGAGAATGTGCACTTTATTATTATATTATGATTTGAATACTACTGTTTATATTAAATGAGTGACAATGATATAATTTTAAAGTAGCTGATCGCTTATCCAATTGACATCCAAAGTTAAGTTCCAGCCATGGATGTTCGATATCCTTATATGCTATTGTAGCAAACTTGGACTTATCAAATCACACTTTAAGTTAATACGATTGATTGATTGTGTGTACAGCAGCTGTCGGGACGAATACATGAACGTAAATGCACATCAACAACCCAAGAATGTGATTTGTTATATAATTATTATTCAAATATTGAATTATGCGCATACGCTTTGCAATATTGATATGCATAACTAATTCAAACCCATGTAAATAAGATTGTGTACGCAATATTTCATAATATAATTATTCAATAATTATTTCACATCATAATTAGATCGATTAAAAGCTTACTTACTT